CACACCCAGCTAATTTTTGTATTTTTAGTAGAGATGGCTTTTCAGCATGTTGGCCAGGCTGATCTCGAACTCCTGACCTCAAATGATCCACCCACCTCGGCTTCCCAAGTGCTAGGATTACAGGCATGAGCCACTGTGCCTGGCCTTCAAATTCTTAATGGAACCTGATATCAAGAGTTATTCCACTTTCTTTGCCATGGGTGTTAGATCATTCCTTTCCTCTTTTCCTTTTCTGTTCCCTTTAATCTCACTTTTTCTTTTCTCCTTTCTTTTCCTGTCTTGATCTTCACCTGCTTCTTTTTACAAGGGCAACCCTAATACTGTTGTTCTCTTTGGACTGTGCTAATCCTCCCACTCTTCTGCTCAAGACTGGCATCATACCTTGTTTCTCATTCCTAAATCTTATATATCATAAGATCATTTATTAGATGAATATTGTTTAATTAATACACTTAAAAATTTTATTTCCGTAACTTGTGGGATACAAGTGGTTTTCTGTTATGTGGGTGAATTACACAGTGGTGAATTCAGAGATTTTAGTGCACCCATCACCCAGGTAGTGTACATTCTACGTGATATGTATGGTTTTATCCCTAGCTCCCCTTCCATCATCCCTCTTCTGAGTCTCTAAAGTCCATTATATCACTCTGCTTGCTTTTGTATACACATTGCTTAGTTCTCACTTATATGTGAAAATATATGTTTTTTGGTTTTCCACTCCTGAGTTACTTCACTTAGACTAATGACCTCTAGTTCCATTCAGGTTGCTGCAAAAGACATTATTTTGCTCCTTTTTTGTTGCTGAGCAGTATTCCATAACGTTCATATGCCACATTTTCTGTACCCACTCAGTCGATGGGCACTTAGATTGGCAATTGTGAATTGTGCTGCTCTAAACAAACATGTGCAAGAGTCTTCATGTAATGACTTCTTTTCCTTTGGGTAGATACCCAGTAGTGGAATTGCTGGACCAAATGGTAGAAATACTTTTTCTTCTTTAAGGAATTGCCAAAGTTTTTTCCACAGAAGTTGTACTAATTTACATTCCCATCAGCAGACTTTAAGTGTTCCCTTTTCTCCACATCCATGCCAACATCTATTTTTTGACTTTTTTTTTTTTTTTTAAACAAGGTCTCACTGTGTTGCCCAGGCTGGAGTGCTGTGGTGCAATCGTAGCTCACTGCAGCCTCAGCCTTATGGGATCGAGGGATCCTCCTGCCTCAGCCCCCGAGTACCTGGGACTAAAGGTGCTCATCACTACACTTGGCTAATTTTTGCATTTTTGTAGAGATAGGGTTTTGCCATGTTGCCCAGGCTGGTCTCAAACACCTCAGCCTCCCAAAGTGCTGGGATTACAGGTGTGAGCCACTGTGCTGGGTCCTTTCTCTGAATTTTTAATGATGGCCATTCTTGCAGGAGGAAGGTAGTGTCTCCTTGTGGTATTAACTTGCATTTCCTTGATGATTAGTGATGTTGAGCATTTTTTCATGTATTTGTTGGCCATTTGAATATCTTCTTTTGAGAAATAACTATTCATGTCTTTTGCTCATTTTTTGATGGGATTTTTTTTTCTTGCTGATTTGAGTTCCTTGTAGATTCTGGATAATAGTCTTTTTTCTAATGCATAGTTTGCGAATATTTTCTCTTAGTCTGTGGTTGTCTATTTTTTCTTTTGCTGTGCCGAAGTGTTTTAGTTTACTTAGGTCCCATTTATGTATTTTTGTTTTTGTCGCATTTGCTTTTGGGGTCTTAGTCATGAATTCTTTGCTTAGGCTGATTATTAAACGAATATTTAGTGAGCACCAGCCATATATAACAAACACTGTACTGGTGCTGGTAATACATGGAGAACTTACATAAATCACGAATCACACAAACCTCTTTTATCTTTTTTGCCTTACTGGAGAATTTGGGTTTTTGGGTAAATGCCATTATTCCCTTTCTTTTAGCACTGTTTTGCGTCTCAACCACCTAACACACTGCAGCCCTGAGCAACCGGGATGGGCTGGTTCCTGAACCCTGGCCGACACAGCCTAAACCCCAACTCGACATTTCCGGAAGAGGAATAAAGGTCAACGAATTTCCGCCCATTCAGCCCAAACGTCTATAGACATTCGTAGATGAGGCCTTGTCAAAATTCACAGGCGTCCTACGTCTGTTTTTCCAATGAGACAGTTGTTTTTTGTCTCAGAGACTGGGATTTTTTTTTTTTTTTTTTTTTTTTTTTTTTTGAGACAGTTTTACTCTTGTTGTCCAGGCTGGAGTGCAATGGCATGATCTCAGCTCACTGCAACCTCCGCCCCCGGCTTCAAGCAATTCTCCTGCCTCAGCCTCCCAAGCAGCTGGGATTACAGGCATGCGCCACTATGCCCGGCTAGGGATTTTTTTTTTTTAAAAGACTGTAAGCAGTAAAAACATCCCAACAGGTTGTTGTGACAATCAAACAGGCTAAGAAAATCCAGCCAATGAGAGTGCGAGAGTGCCTCCGGTGTTAGCCAATGAGAAGAGCGCGCCGTGCGCAGGGCCGCCCAATGGGACGCGAGCGACGCGGTATTTGAATCCTGGAACAAAGCGAGTGCGACGAAGATTCTCAGCGCTGCGGGTCCCGAGAGCATCCGTAACGGCGCCTACCTAGTACGCTTGTGCCCTCCCTTTTCAGTCCGCGTCCCTCCCTGGGTCGGGCTGACACTCTTGCCTTCCCCGTCCCTCATGGCGCTGCTCCGACGCCCGACGGTGAGTTGTGCCCGGCGACCCCCTCCCAGAGGCGAGCCCGTCGGCCCCACAGCTCCCATTTCGCTTCAGTCCTCTGCTCCGAGCTTCTCGGTCCCAACCGGGGCTGCTTTTCTCTTCTCCGGAGCTCCCCGCTTCGTCCGCGTCCCTGGCCCTGCGGCCGGTCCTCTCTGGCCGGCCTCTCCCCGTCTAGATTCCGCTCTCCAGTTGACCCTTACTGCCCCGGGGTGGGAGAAGTGTAAGAAAGCGCTTCCGACGTGGCACTGGTCAGATGAGCCCCAGGAGCACCGGGTCTAGTACTCAGCGAACGATCCCATAGTGCTCTTCATCTCTAGAGAGTTACCTACTTGCACTTTTCTGGGTTGAAAACCTCCCCCTTTTTCACAACTCCTTGCCTACTAAGGGATCTGTGGTGGGGGCTGGGAGAAGGGCTGGAAGAGTTCTGTAGGCAGAAAAGTGTACTGCCTGTTTCATCAGGCAACTGCCAGGCTGTTTTTCAGATTGTTCACATTTCTTTTTATATGAATTTCCAGTTTATTTCTTCTGCACGGGGAGTGTTTCAGGCTAAGTTCACTAATAAATGGGTTTGTCCCTTTAAAAAATTAATTACTCAAATGTAATAGAGATTTTTGAATATAATTTGGACCAGTGTGGCAGATTAAGGGAAGGTTTCAAATTCATTTGTTTCATCCTTGCAGAGTTCAAAGTGTTAAGGTGTTTTGGGTATTTTTTCTGTGGGCCTGAATTGTACTGGAACCTACTTTTTTCCTTTGCTGAAAGCGAGAGGGCCCGGACACACCTGAGTTCCATCATCCTGGCTGTAAGGTTAGATAAAAGCTGCCAATTTTCCCATCCAGATGAATTTAAATTTAGTCACATTTCTAGGCTTCTACCCATAAGCATTACATTTTCAAACACTTTTTTAGATTGGCAGATGCTGCTGCAAAAAATTGAACAGTGTGACTTTTCAGAATCCTAACTCACTGAATACATTCAGCATTTAATTCACATCCTTTTGTTGATCTAAGTCCAACTGACAAGTAATTTTTTAAAATAATGTATTCTATAAAGTTATTTAATAGTCAGAATCTTCCTGTTCAGGGAAGGCTTGAGTTTCCCTTGCCTCTTTCTCTACCCTGGTAGATCCACTCACACCCCTTGTTGGGAATTTTGTTAGAAACAGGACCCTGAACTCTCAGGGACAGGACATGCTGAGTTTTTTTTTTTTCCTTTCCTTTTTTTAATGAAATGTTTATCACTTCTATAATAAGCTTTTTTGGTATGAATTACTTTTCCTATAATGTTTTATTTCTAAGACGTTATGTCTAAAGCAGGTTGAGGTCAACAATTCCAGCCTTTCCTGAGATGGGGAGCTAAAACTGTATTACCCAAGAAAACTACTTACATTCTAAATATCCTTAATATAAGAGTGAATCCATTTTATGGCAACCCATTTTAAAAAGCTATATTCTAGTTTTTTTTTTTTAAAGCTGTATTCTAAAAGATTATGCATACAGGAGCATTTCTTATTTGTAAAGTGGCATAAGAAGCAAAGCTAGTTTAGGTTTTAAACATCTGGTTTTTGAACAACCAGACTTATTAACTATTAATATTACAGCTTTTTAATTTTTCATCTTAATGGTACTTGTTACCAAGCTGTGTAAAGGAAGGTTTTTAAATATATGCCTTTAACTTACACGGATCTCTAACAGGTGATACAAGTGTACTGTAAGAGAAATAATCATTAAATAGTAATCAGCTTTGAAGTTACTCGGGCCCAATTAGTACTCAAAATGGTTTTGAAAGGTTACTGGGAGGACTTTTATTACAGATAAAGTAGATGGGTGATTTGCCTAATTTAGAGTGATGTTATTAATCACAAGTAGCATTTTTAGACTTCCTAAAATGTAACTTTTCCATCTGGCAAATAGATTTTGATGTATTTCCTTTCCCGGAGCAATTCTAAATTTGAATATCTAACATTAGGGAAGTATTCCAAATTCTTTCAAGGTTTCATTATTTTTTTTTTTGTTTTTTCAGGTTTCCAGTGATTTGGAGAATATCGACACTGGTGTTCATTCTAAAGCTAAGAGTCATGTGACTATTAGGCGAACTGTTTTAGAAGAAATTGGAAATAAAGTTACAACCAGAGGAGCACAAGCAGCTAAGGTAACAATGATGAGGACTGAACGTGCACACAAAGACTGATTCTATAGAGTGTAAGGTAACAGTGAGGACGGAAGGCGGAAGGTGCACACACAGGCTGATCATGTAGAGTGTAAGGTAGCAGTGAGGACGGAACGTGCACACACAGGCTGAACCTGTAGAGTGTAAGGGAACAGTGAGGACTGAACATGCACACAGAGGCTGAATCTGTAGAGTGTAAGGGAACAGTGAGGACGGAACGTGCACACACAGGCTGAACCTGTAGAGTGTAAGGGAACAGTGAGGACGGAACGTGCACACACAGGCTGAACCTGTAGAGTGTAAGGAAACAGTGAGGACGGAACTTGCACACAGAGGCTGATTTTGTAGAGTGTAAGGGAACAGTGAAGACTGAACGTGCACACAGAGGCTGATTCTTCATTTTGCTTAGCCTCACCACACTGGCTCTCTTGCCCTATTCATGTTTCTTTTTCCTTATAGAAAGCTCAGAACTCCAAAGTACCATTTCAACCCACCAAAACAACAAATGTCAACAAACAACTGAAACCTACTGCTTCTGTCAAACCAGTACAAATGGAAATGTTGGCTTCAAAGGTAGGAAGTTATGAATTTACAGATATACTTAATGAGGTAGCCTGCTTTAGCCAGACTACAAAGGTGCCTTTATCATTGCTGTACCTTTTAACAAACTTATGTAGCTAGAGCTCTGCTTTGCATCAGCAGTGTAGGAAATGAGTATATATTCCTTTTTCTTTTCTTTCTTTCTTTTTTTTTTTTTTTTTGAGATGGAATCTCACTCTGTAGCCCAGGCGGGAGTGCTGTGGCGTGATCACGGCAGCCTCCGCCTTCCAGGTCCCAGTTCAAGCAGTTCTACCTCATTCTCCCAAGTAGCTGGGATTATAGGCATGAGCCACCATGCCCAGCTAATTTTTGTGTTTTTTTAGTAGAGACGGGGTTTCACCATGTTGGCCAGTCTGGTTTTGAACTCCTGACCTCATGATCCGCTTGCCTCAGCCTCCCAAAGTGCTGGGATTACAGGTGTGAGCCACCATGCCCGGCTGTATATACACCTTTTAAATGATGCTACTTAATTTAACATTATGACCTTGAAGCTGGGCATGGTAGCTTATGACTGTAATCCTAGCACATTGGGAGGCTGGGGCAGGAGGAAAATTACAACCCTGAATAATAAGGTTAATTCCCGTAATACCCAAAGAAAGGATAAAATGGTTGGGAAGATTCAGGGAGTGAGTGGGATTTTTAGGGGTAGAGAGAATTTGATACGAAAGGGCACCTTTTTGGAGAACAAAATAGCAAGATCAAGGTACCAGAGTAGAAATGGACCTAAAATTGGTCCTTTAATTAAGGAGTCTGAAAGACTAAACTGAGTAAGGTGGCTTGTGTGAGGAAGCAGAAGATAAGGCTGAGAAGAAGGTTGCAGTTGGATTTGAAGATCTTGGAATTCGGATTTTTATGCCATTAGACTTGAGGAAACAAAGTTTTGAGGAGTAGGGAAATGAGGAAAACAGTGCAGGGAGGTAAGTTAGGAGGTGTCACACTTGTCCAAGCAAGAGCTGATGAGGGTCTTGAGCCAGCCTCATCTTCCCTAAGCACCCGCCCATACACCAGTATCAATACTGGGTGTGAGAAGTCAACATCAAATGTGTTAGGATGTCTCAGAACTCCTTTCAGGGACATCATCTTGTATTTCAGAAAGAATACTTTGGGCACATGGTTTGGAGTGCAGGAGTGGGACGCTTAACTACTTGGGTGTTAAACCATTTATGCAATAAATGAGCAAAAAGTAGGAAAGTCAGGAGAGGGAGGTAGCTTTGGGAAAGGTATCCTGTTTGGCTTCACATTTGTTGCGGTAACAGAGGGACATCTGCCTGCAAATGCAGTTGGAAATGTGGAAGCAACATCTGAAGGTAAGGAATGGTTTCATTAGCTTTCTCCACAGAGTTGGTGGTTTGAAAGCACGTTGCTGTTTATGAGGACTAAAGCTTAGAACAAATAGTTGAGATGAAACTTCTTTAAGAGGCCTTCCCTTGAAGGTTTCTATAGTAGTGACTTCCTGAAAGCCAAACCTAAAGGCTGGTTTTCAGACCTTGGTCTCTTAGGAGTTGGTTTTTTTTGTTGTTGTTTTTGTTCTTTTAATTTTTTCTTTTAAGAGATGGGGTCTTGCTATGTTGCCCAGGCTGGAGTGCAGTGGCTGTTCACAGGCGCTACCCCACTGCTGATAAGCACGGGAGTTTTGACCTGGGCCGGTTCACCCCTCCTTAGGCAACCTGGTGGTCCCCTACTCCTGGGAAGTCACCATATTGATGTCGAACTTTGTGCAGACACCTGATCAGCATAGCTCATTACAGCCCAGAACTCCTGGACTCAAGCGATCCTCCAGCCTCAGCTTCCCGAGTAGGTGGGATACAGGCACGCAATAGCGTGCCCAGCAGGTCTTTTAGGAGTTGTGCAGAAAATTTTACTTGCATAACGATTTGAATGTGGTTTCTCCCACATCGCAGGAGGGCAGTTTGGCAATATGTATATATATGTATTTTGTATATATGTATTTGTAAAATATCTATATATTATAAATATAGATATATATATTTTATATATTATATATAATATATATAACTATATATAACATATATAAATATTTGTATATTTATATATGTATTAAAAAGATATATTTTTTGGTGGGGGACAGTCTTGTCTGTCGTCCAGGCTGCAGTACTGTGGCTCTATCCCTGCTCACTGCAACCTCTGCCTTCTGGGTTCAAGCAATTTTCCTGTTTCAGCCTACTGAGTAGATGGGACTCCAGGTGCCTGCTACGACGTCTGGCTAATTTTTTGTATTTTTTAGTAAAGACGGGGTTTCACCATGTTGGCCAGGCTGGTCTCGAACTCCTGACCTCAGGTGATCCACCTGCCTTGGCCTCCCTAAATGCTGGGATTACAGGTGTGAGCCACCATGCCTGGCTGCAGTGTATTTCAAATGATTATTCTCCATACCCAGTAGGTGTGTTTTTTATACAAAGAAAATGATAAGAGGGATAATCAAGTAATTTTAAATAGTGCTATGATGAATGTCTCTTAAAGAGTAGAGAAATATCCTAGTTAAATTCATTTAAGGAAATACTATGCAACTATAAATATAATGTTTTAGTAGAATATTTCAAGGCATCAAAATGCTTGTGCCATTAAGTGGAAATATCTGATTATAACAGTGCAACCCCAGATTTGCTTTTAAAATGTACATTTGTGGCCAGGCGCGGTGGCTCACGCCTGTAATCCCAGCACTTTGGGAGGCCGAGGCGGGTGGATCACAAGGTCAAGAGATCGAGACCATCCTGGTCAACATGGCAAAACCCTGTCTCTACTAAAAATACAAAAAATTAGCTGGGCATGGTGGCGCGTGCCTGTAATCCCAGCTACTCAGGAGGCTGAGGCAGGAGAATTGCCTGAAGCCAGGAGGTGGAGGTTGCGGTGAGCCAAGGTCCTGCCCTACCACCCCCGGCGGAAAAAAAGCAAAAAACCTCCTAAAAAAAAAAAAAAAAAAAAAAAATACATTTGTATGCAGCATATTGATGGTACTTATTTTTGAGTATTATGTTGGACTTAAGATTGACTTTCATTTTCTTCCTTAAAACTTCAGACTTACCTTGGGTACATATTACTGTTCAAGTTAGAGAAGAGGGAAAGAAGATTTTTTTTTTTTTTTTTTTTTTAAAAAAAAAAAGCAAAGATCCAAAAAAAGAAACAAAGGGAAAAATAGTTTTCTCCTGTGACCTCCACAACTTCACCCTTTTGTGTTTCCTTTACTCCTTGGCTGACTCCTTTTTCTCTCTCTTCCTGGCAAAATTAAGGCCATTGTTTGAGATAAAGCATTATGGACCTTTAGCTCAGTTCATATAAAAATCAGTTGCAGGGTTGAAACATAAAGCTACATGTTCTAGATTTAGAAGTTATCAGGAATTAATGAACAACAGTTATTTCCAATTCAAATACATTTCCCTCTGAGAAAGACAGTAGTGGAGGAATCTCTTAAGTCTACGATTTGGGTAGAACCCCACCTTCTGGCAGGTGAGTCCCTCTGCCTGCCCATCTCTGGTCAGCTCTCTGGCTTTTATTTTGTCACCAGCTCTATGCAGGGTTATCACTGTTCTTTCTTTTTTTTTTTTTTTAAATCACTGTTCTTTCGAGCCAATCCCTGGTGTTGTGGAAATGCCACAACAGGCACACAGGTTTCTAGCAATTTTCCTGGAAAGATGACAACATAAGCCATGTGTCAGTGATAGCAGTTGTTCCCAGTCCTGTAACCAAATTTGTACTATCCTATCTGCAAAACTGCAGGGCAGGTTTCTTTCTTTGTAGCAGTTGACACAACTGAATCACAAAGTGCCCTGGTGGAGACCTCAGAAGAGTTCCAGTCCTTTACAAGTATTCACTGAAGCTTATTATCCTGCAGTTTTTGGAGAAAATGGTGTGGTTTTTTTTTTGCTGATTAATGAGGCTTTGGTGAACACAGTAGTTCGAAAGGATGAGGAAGGCCTTTTCTAGTCCCTTGTTTGCTGGACACTGGGGAAACAAGTTGAATAAACCATGGACTCTGCCCAGAAGAGCTCCCAGTCAAGTTGGAGAACATAGGAGTAAAAGCATGGCTTTATCTGTCACAGAGATAGATGCACACTTATGAGAGGTACTCAGGAATGTTAGCTAGAACAGATTACCTGACCAGATGAATAGATCTTAGAAAGGGTCTTACAATAATGCAATTATGTTGGAGTTCAAAAGGAATCAAGGAATTCTAAATTAAGGGCCAGGGCAAGAATCTTTGTCTTATCCTGGCGGCTTTTGTTATTGATTGATGAACAAGATCTCATTATGTTGCTCGGGTCGGTCTCAAACTCCTGGGCATAAGCAGTCTTCCTACCGTGGCCTCCCAAAGTACTGGGATCACAGATGTCAGCTACCACACCCAGCCCCTGGTGGCTTTTGGATATGGCTAAACTCAGCTGCACTTCTTAATAGGAGCCAGGTAAACATTCTAAGCTGCTATAATAGCACATGATAACCTCTGACTCCTTAAACTAGACTTTTTGGTTACTGACTGCTCTTCCAAGGGTGGGTGGTAATGCTTATCCTTGAAAAAGCTAACCTTAGCTGAAGCTACATATGCTTATTAAAATGCAAATCTGACTCCAGTCACTTGCTAAACTCCTTCAGTTGTTTCACCTTACCTTTGGATAAAATCTAAGCTTCTTAGCACAGCTCTTGTTCAGCTTTTCAGCCCAGCTTCTCACACCTCACAGGCTATCCTCCCCACATCTCAAAACAATTTGCATTTCCTGTTCGTCTTCCTTAAGGCTGTACCCTCTCTGGTACGCTGGGTGCCTCTCCTCATTTGATAACCTCTTTGAGGTTTCCAGGTTCCCAAATTCTTTTCTTTTTCTTCTCTTTCCTCTTTTCTTTTCTTCTTTTCCTTTTTTCCTTTTCATTTCCTCCTCCCTTCCCTCCCTTTCCTTCTTTCCATCCATCTCATTCTGTCTCTAGGCTGGAGTGCAGTGACATAATCACCACTCACTGCAGTTCACTCTCCTGGGTTCAGGTAATTCACCCACTTTAGCCTCCCAACTTTGTGCCACCATGCCTGGCTGATTTTTATATTTTTTGCAGAGGAGAAGTTTTGTGATGTTGCTCATGGTGCCCTTGAACTCCTGAGCTGAAGCAATCTGCTTGCCTCAGCCTTCCAAAGTGCTGGGATTATAGGCACCAGCCACTGTACTTGGCCTGGTTCTCAAATGCTTGAATGAATGTCCTGCATGCCTGCATACCTCTTGCTGACCTGGTCCTTCCTCAGTTTAAGACTTTTTATTTAAGAGAGTAGGAGATGTTTTAAACTGCTCTTTTTTTGTTGTCGTTATTATTCTATCCTTTAAGACTGGAAATTATTAAGCTTTACTGTAAATTTAAATTGTTGTATCTATAAAGCCTCCTCTTTTAAAAAAATATTTTATTACCTTAATATATATTCTTACAGCTTAGGATCTTGCTAGGTTTTACTTGCAGAAGTACTTCTGTTTAAAACAATGATTTATTTATATTTTATTAATAGATACTTGTTTTAACTTACTTTGTAAATTTTTAATTTGCATAATTTTTATAAATAATCCCCTAGTTAGCATAAGAAAGTGAAATACTGAGTTGTATACTTGCTCAGTCTTTGCCTCCTTCTTCTATTTTATTCATAGACTGGAATGTGCTTTTCTGCTTTTTAGTTACCAGTTTTTCAATTTGGAATAAATTAGTTGAACAGAAGAAAATATACTACAGAAGAGGCTGCTACTAAAGCAGAATGATCAGCTGCAGTAATCTTAGAACCCAGGTGGTGAAGTTTCTTTCACTTATTTAGCACCTACTCTGAGGGCTTACACAGACCTTTGAGGTACCTTAATGGGCAAAACCTAAGCTTTGAGAGCTTACTTTCTGACAGAGGTAGACAGAAAATAATGCACATATAAACTATTGTATATTAGAAGTATAGGTTCTATGAGAAAAAACACAGAGATGAGACATAAATGGTTATGGTGGGAGGATAGGGATTGGAGACAGGTGATAATTTTGTTTGTTGTTTATTTGGTTGGTTTTGAAATGGAGTCTTGCTCCATCCAGCCCAATGCACTGGCGTGATCTTGGCTCACTGCAACGTTGCCTCCCAGGTTCAAGCTATTCTCCTGCCTCAGCCTCCTGAGTAGCTGAGACTACAGGTGCGCACCACCAAGCCTGGCTAAGTTTTGTATTTTTTTTTAGTAGAGATGGTGTTTTGCCATGTTGATCAGGCTGGTCTTGAATTCCTGGGCTTAAGTGATCTGACTGCCTTGGCTTCCCAAAGTGCCAGGATTACAGGTGTCAGCCACCGTGCCTGGCCAGATAATTTTAAATGGGAGTCAGGACAGACCTCATTGAGAATGTAACATTTAAACAAAATTTGAAGAAGGTAAGAATTACCCATATGGACATAGAGGCAGCAGCATTTTGGGTAAGAAGAGCCTGGCTGGAGTGAAGCAGTCAAGGGAGAGAAGCAGGAGACAGGTCAGCGAGGGAAGTGGGGAGGGCCAGGTTGTATAGGGTCTGTAGGCCATTGGGAGGACTCAAGTTTTCAGTTTGAGTGAAATTAGAAAGTTTTAGACAGAGAAGTGTCTCTTGAAGAACTTTTATCCACTATATCTTGAATTATTCACCTCTTGGTATGTTTTGTCTTTAATATAATTCAAATGTGCATATGATATTGATGATTAAGCCAGTTGCCCCTGGATGTATTTGTGGTTTAAGGCTGCTCTTACCTATGCTTTAATTTGTTGCTGTAGGGTCCTTCTCCTACACCTGAAGATGTCTCCATGAAGGAAGAGAATCTCTGCCAAGCTTTTTCTGATGCCTTGCTTTGCAAAATCGAGGACATTGATAATGAAGATTGGGAGAACCCTCAACTCTGCAGTGACTACGTTAAGGATATCTACCAGTATCTCAGGCAGCTGGAGGTGTGTGGGCCTTTGTATTTTGGTTGTATAAGCATGTGGAATTTACCACACAGCTGAGAAGGAAACAAGGTTAGCTTTTTAAACTTTTGATTCTACCTACAGGTTTTGCAGTCCATAAACCCACATTTCTTAGATGGAAGAGATATAAATGGACGCATGCGTGCCATCCTGGTAGACTGGCTGGTGCAAGTCCACTCCAAGTTTAGGCTTCTGCAGGAGACTCTGTACATGTGTGTTGCCATTATGGATCGATTTTTACAGGTAGGCATGGCTTCAGGGACTTCATGCCAGTGGCTCATTGAACATTGCATTTATGCTTTGGGGATAGAAAACTAAAGTGAGTACTTCTGAAAAGACCAAAAATCAAATTGTGAGAAACCAAAGAACTTCAGATATTAACAAGAGAAGTAATCCAAGCGTGTGAAGTCTTTCATGATGCTGACCAATATTGGGCATTTCTGTAAGGTCAGCCCAGCCCTCTTGCCTCAGCCTCCTGAGTAGCTGGGACTACAGCTGTGTGCCACCACAGCTGGCTAAGGTTTTGATTTTTTTATAGAGATGGGTTTTTGCCATGTTGCCCAGGCTGGTGTTGAACTCCTTAGCTCAAGTGATCTGCCCATCTCGGCCTACCAAAGTGTTAGGATTATAATTGTGAGTCACTGTGCTCAGCCATGGTAGATTTTTAATAATGAGAGTTGAAGCAAGAAAAGTGACAAGTCCCAATTTGGGAGGAAAAATAATAATGGCAATTAAGGGAAACTCTTTCCCCTAGCCTGAGAGTCTTCCTGACTCCAAAGCATTAGTGAAAGTTTTTCCAAGCTGAACAATGGGTAAGCTTTTGGTAAGGATTAAGGAAATGAGCCATCCATTAAATTCTCACTTTTTTGCTTGATCTCATCTCATTTCAGCCCATGCTGAGTATGTCAGGTCAGGGCTGTCACGGACACTCTAGTCAGGATGAAGTTGTCGGAAGAGTGACTAGGAGCTTGGTATTCAGGCTTGAGTTCTTCCCTTCTTGGCAATTGAATGATCTTGGCGTGGTGTCTGAATCTGTTCTCAGGCCATCTATTTGTAATTGAGGAATAAAATACGTGCTTCCTAGAATTTTTGTGAGGATTGGATGAGATAATGTGTTAGAATCTTAGCATGGTGCCTAGCACAGAGTGCTCAGTTACAGATGGCTGTCATGATCAGTGGTGGAACATTCAGGTCTCCTGTGCCCTTATGAGGGTCATGAGCAAAGGCAGTGTGCACTTTTCCAGGACTTGGTTCCCTTTCCCCTTCTCCCATCCAAAGCTTCACTCTTCTTGTTAGGTGTGACTTTTGATAACTTTCATTTTCCATTAGGTTCAGCCAGTTTCCCGGAAGAAGCTTCAATTAGTTGGGATTACTGCTCTGCTCTTGGCTTCCAAGTATGAGGAGATGTTTTCTCCAAATATTGAAGACTTTGTTTACATCACAGACAATGCTTATACCAGTTCCCAAATCCGAGAAATGGAAACTCTAATTTTGAAAGAACTGAAATTTGAGTTGGGTCGACCCTTGCCACTACACTTCTTAAGGCGAGCATCAAAAGCCGGGGAGGTAAGTGCCTCCAACTCTGTAAGACACTATTTTCATTTGGTGTCTCATCCCAGAAACCTTGACCTAATTAAAGGAAGGCTTATTAATTTATAGTACACATCCTTTAGGTAAGTCTTAATGCTTACCTCATCGGTTATTAAAAGAAAAGGCCTCATGATATGTGTTTACAACATATTGTAGAATAAAATAATCCTTGAGAAGGATGAGTTAAGTGAATTTGAGTTTCTAGGCCATCATGCAGAATTGTGCAAGATAGTAATTACAGTTGTGATTCATACTGTCCCTGGCTGTTCTTTTTTAGGTTGATGTTGAACAGCACACTTTAGCCAAATATTTGATGGAGCTGACTCTCATTGACTACGATATGGTGCATTATCATCCTTCTAAGGTAGCAGCAGCCGCTTCCTGCTTGTCTCAGAAGGTTCTAGGACAAGGAAAATGGGTGAGTGGTGGATTTAAAAAATTAATTAGGCTATATTTTAGTCCCTCATGATATGAAAGCCCTTGGCACAACACTATCCTTGAAGGAGTTGCTTCTGTTTTGTTTTTGAGAGAGGGTCTCTGTTGCGTAGGCTGGAGTATGATGGTGCGATCACAGCCCACTGCATCTTTGACCTCCCAGGCTCAAGTGATCCTCCTGCCTGAGTAGTGGGGACCACAGGCAGCCATGACCATATCTGGCTAATTTTTGTAATTTTTTTGTAGAGACAGTGTTTTGCTATGTTGCCTAGGCTAGCCTCGAACTTGGCTCAAGCAGTCTGCCCACTTTGTCCTCTCAAAGTGCTAGCATTTCATGTGTGAGCCACCGTGCCTGGCCTGAGGGAATTGTTAAAAGGCCAAAGGCCTAAAGGAACACTTCTTGGAAACGGGCATGGTGGCCTGTGCCTGTAGTTCTAGTAACTTGGGAAGCTGAGGCAGGAGGATCATTGGAGCCTAGGCCCAGGAGTTCAAATCTAGCCTGGGCAACATAGAGAGACCCCTGTCTCTTGGGAAAGAAAGAAAGCAAGCTACTTGGAACAATTCCAGTAGAACTGAGTTGATTGTACTAAGGTGCACGTATGCATTATAGAGTTGTGCAGAATGAGGAAGGCCACTAACAACTGATAACGTATAATTTCTTAGATATTATGTTAAGTGGAACAAGCAAGTTGTCAAGCACACAATACAAAGGAAGGCCCAAGGCCTGACTGATTTAGCCAGTAAGAACAGAATGAGCCTCTTTTAGATTCAGATGAGTAGCCAAGGATGGCAGCTCCCTGGGTCTTTGTTTCACATGGCAAAAAGGATACTATGGAAACAAATGGAGCTTGATAGCTGCAATGCAAGCCACAGGTACACTGTTGTGGAGAAGCCAGTTCTAGACTACTGCTAAGCAGCCTTCTAGTCTGCAGCTATACCCTGAGAGCAGCACAGCAGGAAACTTCGTTAGAACTGAAGGAATAAGAAGCTGACTTGGCTGGGCGCCATGCCTTAATCCCAGCACTTTGGGAGGCCAAGGCAGGTACATCACCTGAGGTCAGGAGTTCGAGACCAGCCTGGCCAACATGGTGAAACCCCTTCTCTACTAAAAATACAAAAATTAGCCAGGTGTGGTGGCAGGCACCTGTAATTCCATCTGTTTAGGAGGTTGAAGCAGGAGAATTGCTTGAACCTGGGGGATAGAAGTTGCGTTTAGCTGAGATTGTGCCACTGCACTCCAGCCTGGGGTATAGGGCGAGACTGTCTCCAAAAAAAAATAAAAAAGCAGCAGCTGTCTCGTGACAACCTCCCAGTGGGAGTTGCCTGGGAGGCAGCTCTGCCCACACTTGCCATCCCCTCCTTTTCCATGAGGATCACAAAGCATTTTGCCAGGACAGATCAGTGGTGGTTTAGGTCTTGGACTTTGTGGCTTACATGAATATAGGCAAGGTCACCAGGGCAGCATGGTGGAGCTGTTCACCTACACATTTATGTACTGTAGTTCACATTTTATGCAAGAAAGTGTGTGTGTGCATGTGTGTTTGTGTATTTTTTGGTACAGGAGGAATGAATGAGAAGGTATGAAGTGGATACTGTGGGGTTCTGTGGGAACAGGGTAGAGGCTGAGGATGAGAGGACTTCTGATTATAACTTTTTATTGACTTCATAATACAGTGTAACTGTTTTGACTTGTGAACAGTGTAAATATTTTATGCAAACTTTAAATTGTAATTAAGTGGACATAAACAGTGTAACTGCATGTGAACTTGGTAACAGAACACAGAGGAAAGAATTAATTTAAGTACTTGTTCAGGTTTGGTCACTCTGACCTGTAATCCTAGCACTTTGGGAGGCAGAGGTAGGAAGATTGCTTGAGCCCAGGAGTTCGAGGGCAGCTTGGGTAGCATAGCAAGACCCCTGTCTCTACAAAAAATTGAAAAATTAGCTGGTTATGGTGGTGCACACCTGTAGTCCTAGTACTCAGGGGGCTGAAGCAGGAGGATTGCTTGAGCCCAGTAGTTCAAGGCTAAAGTGAGCTAGAATCATGCCACTGCACTCGATCCTGGGCAACAGAGCAAGACCTTGCCTCTAAAAAAAAAATCTGTAACTTGAACACAGCATTCTGACCGTGCATCCTTAGTGGGATTTAAAGTATGACAAAACAGAGGACTAAAGTGGTAACATGAAGTTTGCTTAGTAGGTTCAGTATTGGTTAATAGTAATCTGTTAGTATAATCCTGGAACTATTTTGTGTGTATTGTAGGATAAAACAAATGTATTCATGTTATTAAGGACTAAAATTTTCACTGTAAGAACAGTAGTTGTTAGTTTTTTTTGTTTTTTGTTTTTTTTAAATGATACATGGTCTTGCTTTGTCATCCAGGCTAGAATGCAGTGCTGCTACCACAGCTCACTGCAGCCTCGATTGCCTGGGCTCAAGTGAGCCTCCCACTTCAGAATAGCAGGGACCCAGTCACACACCATCATGCCTGGCTAATTTTAAAGTTTTTGTAGAAATTGGCTCTCCCTATGTTGCTCAGGCTGCCCTGGGACTCCTGGGCTCAAGTGACCTTCTCGCCTTGACCTCTTAAAGGGCTGGAATTACAGACGTGAGCCACTGTGCCTGGCCTAAGAGAGAAAATACTAACAATTAAAAACAAGGTTAGTCCTCACCTAGGAAATAGCAAAACAAAAACAAAGGAAAATCCCTATTATGTTTTGGAAATAACAGCAAATTCATAATAAAGGGGCTCAGAAACAGTGACAACTCAGTAATAGCGTATTTCATGCCCACATCTTGTATACTAAATACCATTATCTACTAGCAACGAGCGTTCTTTAGTGAAATTGCTGATTTCAGGGCTATGGCAGGGGAACTAAAAGGCGAGCCTAGAACAATTTGTGCCAGATAGCACACGAATTTTCAAAGATCAGTGAGGTCATATCAAAAGGACATAGAGCTGGTCATGGCAGCATGGGCCGATAGTCCCAGCTACTTGGGAGGCTGAGGCAGGAGGATCCTTTGAGCCTGGAGTTTGAGGCTGCAGTGACCTAAAATTATACTGCAATAAAAGGGAAGGAGGGACTAGTTTGAAAGGGCTCCAGCTGACTGAATTTGAGCATTAAAAAGCATAATGAAAAAGGATTAATGGATCCATAATGATACAGAAAATGAAAGGGGTTCATTTTTAAAAATCAGAAACCAGCTAACTAAAATAGAATGATAGAGTTAGAAACCCACTAATTTTCAACCTGTAGTGTAATAATTTATTCAAGCAAGGGGCATCAATGCATGCAAAAATCATTAGATGGAATAATTTTGGGGAACAAGATTCATGTGGTTTCAAATTATCATCCCACAGATACTAGTTAATTCTGTAGTAACACTGCACGTGTATAATGAAGTGATCTGGTTTCCACCTTCACCCAGTGTTTAAGCTCAGCATCACCATTAGTGGACAACCTGAGTTGCCCTGGCTTCTTCTGCAGTAAGATGTATACATTATCACCTATGTGGTATTCATGCCCAAAATGTTTGACATGGATTAAATCATGAGGAAATGTGCAAATCCAGAATGTGAGACATTTTAAAAGGAACTGCCTGAATGCTTCAAAAAAAAAAAAAGTCACTGGTGATAATGTTTCTTATGTGAGAATGGTGGTGTGGATAGGTAAAAAATGCACTTTTTAGAATATGCTTGTGAAACAGCAGGGATGTGCTGTGATATCTGCAAATCACTTTCAAAAGGTATAGCAAAAATACAGAGGGAGAGGCGGAGAAAGCGGTACATGTTCATGATCTACATGAAGGATATCTAGAGGGTCATTCTTCCAGTTTTTCTGTAGATAGGGAATTTTTTGAAATGTTTGAGGCAAAAATGTCACTGGTACCTGGACCAATGGCTTATTTTTAGTCATCTTACTCATAAATGTGCTTCCTTGGGCTCTCCCAGTTTTCTGAGAATTGATTTCAAAATGCTAGAAGTTGTGCATTACTTCAGTTTTTACTCTTGCTTCCTCTTTTTTCCCTTCAAAGTATTTTAGGATTAAGATTGAATTGTGTGGACTGGGCCCAGGGGTTCACCCCTGTAATCTCAACACTTGCGGAGGCTGAGGCAGGCAGATTGCTTGAGCCCAGCAGTTTGAGACCAGCTTGGGCAACATGGTGAAACCTCACCTCTACAAAAAATAGAGAAACTGGCTGGGCGCAGTGGCTCATGCGTATAATCCCAGCACTTGGGAAGGCTGAGGCAGGCGGATCACTTGAGGTCAGGAGTTTTAGACCAGCCTAGCCAACATGGTGAAACTCTGTCTCTACTAAAAATAGAAAAATTAGCTGGGCATGGTGGCACATGCCTGTAGTCTTATCTACTTGGGAGGCTGAGACGCGAGAATTGCCCGAACCTGGAAGGTAGCAGTTGCATTGAGCCAAGATTGTGCCACTGCACTGCAGCCTGGGCTACAGAACGAGACTCAAAAAAAAAAAAAAAAGATAAATTATCCAGGCATGTTGGCACACACCTTTAGTTTCAGCTGCTAGGGAGGCTGAGGTGGGAGGATCGCTTGAGCCCAGGATATCAAGACTGCACTGAGCCCTGAAAGTGCCACTGCAGTCCAGCATGGGCAACAGAGTTGAGACCCGGTCTCCAAAGAAAAAAAGAGATTTAACTGTGGCTTATTTTGCCAATTATACCATGCATATGAAGCATGAAAAGAATGCATTATATAATTGCCAATTATACCATGCATTAGAAAACATGAAGAGAATGTACTTTAGATTTTTTTATAATTTTGTCACAGAACTCTTAAAGTCAGTTGACATATCCTTTTTTTTGTTTCTTTTTGAGACAGGGTCTTGCTCTGTTGCCCAGGCTGGGGTGCAATGGCATGAGTATAGCTCACTGCACCTCAAACTTCTGGGCTCAAGCAATCTTTCCTCCTCAGCTTCTCAAGTAGCTGGGACTTAGGTGTACACTACCATGCTTGGGTAATTTTTCATTTTTCATAAAGATAGGGTCTCCCAATGCTACCCATGCTGGTCTGAAACTCTTACGCTCAAGTGATCTTCTTACCTTGGCTTCTGAAAGTGCTGGGATTATAGGCATGCCCACTGCACCCCACCAATTTATATGTCTTCTTACTTGAAAAGTCTTACCAAATGACAGCTGTTCTTTTGCTTGAATTTTACTCTTTAGGAGGCTAGGTCACAAGGCTTAGTGTGGTGGTGTCTGAGCTCTCTCTGCTCTCTAGTGCTTAACTACATAGTGCACAACAAGAGAATCGTAGGTAGTCTTAGTTCTTCTGGGTTTGACAGACTCTTGCTTGTAGCAGTTTTATTTCTTGTTTGTGAACATCTTTCTCTGACTGAAAGGATGGTTGTTTGGGCTCTTGAGCTAACAACATGCACAACTGGGCAGGGCTTTGCTGCAGGGTTGTGTGAGATGTGGCCAGCACTGTAAAGGGTGCACTTTGTTTAACTGGCTGTTTTTTCCTCCACTTTGAGTGTTGTTACTTGAAGTACTCCTACCTTTGCATTCTGTTCAAAAGATCCTATGGGACCTTTGGCACTTGATTTAGCTAATAGTTTCACAATGTCTTAATTTAGCCTGGCCTCAGGGCCAGAATCATCTTGTATTTACTGGATGCTTTCGTGTTGCTGCTACTGTGGGACTGGTTACGGCTTTAATTGAATTTCCATTAGGTAAGAATATTTTTACAGCTTTTACGTTAAGTAATGTTGTCATGTACAAGATGTGGTCTAAAGAAGCAGAGGCTTTCTCTTGCCCCTCAGTCATGTATGTCTGCTTTTTGTGTTGTGTTTCAGAACTTAAAGCAGCAGTATTACACGGGATACACAGAGAACGAAGTACTGGAAGTCATGCAGCACATGGCCAAAAATGTGGTGAAAGTGAACGAAAACCTAACCAAATTCATCGTAAGTGCTATTATTTTTTTTAGCTGTGGAAAGGATTAGGTTATGGGTTTTGTGTGTATATGGGGTATTTGTGTGTGTTCTCATGTAAATATATTAATATCATATGTGAGAGTTTTAGCACAAATCCTTTATCTTGTATATTTTTCCAGTACAGTATGGTATGGTGCATATTGATAAACCTTGAAAGCAGACTTTCTTTGAAACAGGTTGATAGGCTAGCCATGTCTAGGCCCAGTTCCCAGTCAGCCAATCAGTTACTCGGTGTATTGATTTACTCTGTGCTCATCCCAGCGTCCTAGGGAGAGCACTTTGCAAGCAGGGAGGGCTAGTCTGCATGTGACTGGTAAGAGAGAGGGCCCACTGAAATGGCAGTGTGAAAGTATTGAGTATTCAAGTGATGTTACTCAGTGCCTTTGTCCGGGGTCTTTTGAGGCAGTGATACAAAAACACCTAATTAGCAAGCATGGTGAAGTGGGAAGATGCCCATTCAGGGGGCATCCTGAGGGCACGGTGTCTATCTCTGCATGGCTCACCTATGAGTAGGAGCCAGAGGAGGCTTAGTGCTGTCCTGTGCTTGTGTGACACCAAACGTCAGAGCTCACCAAGTGTGTGGTGGCAAAGAGCAAGGCATTTGAACCTCAGAAGAGTCTCAAGTGTCCTTACAACATGATTTGCTTCATGGAAGTGTAATGTGTGTGCAGTCCTGAGAGGACTGTCTGAGATTTGTTAAGCACTATTTGCCACCCTCTTTTATTGTCAGTTATTGCTGCCAGGCCTGGTGAATCTATTATGTCCTGATGGCACTTAGGTATCATAAATGCAGCTTCCCACTCCCATCCCTCTGGTAGCCTGTGAGAGGAAGCCAGCTACTTGGACCTTGAAATCATTTGTTTTCTATCACCTGTGCTACCAGCTGGGTGTTCTTTTTTTTTTTTTTTTTTTTTTTTTTTGAGACAGAGTCTCACTCTGTGGCTCAGCCTGGAGTGCAGTGGTGTGATCTCGGCTCACTGCAATCTCTGCCTCCTGGGTTCAAGTGATTCTTCTGCCTTAGCCTCCCTATTAGCTGGGAGTACAGGCGCGTGCCACCAAGCCCAGGTAATTTTTTGTATTTTTATTAGAGACGAGGTTTCACTGTATTAGCCAGGATGGTCTCGATCTCCTGACTTCGTGATCCCCTGCCTCGGCCTCCCAAAGTGCTGGGATTACAGGCATGAGCCACCACACCCAGCCCCAGTGGGTTTTATTCATTTATGGGGATGGAAGGAAATGGTCAGGCACGTGTTATGAGCCCAGAGCTTTCACTGGTTCCAGCGATTGGGAATCATTGCGATGATGATTGTGGCCCTGGATCTTTGATACTTGTGGATTAGTTAAGGAATAAGGTATTAGTGGGGGTTCTTTACATGTATTTAATCACAAATGACTTCTTCAGGCCATCAAGAATAAGTATGCAAGCAGCAAACTTCTGAAGATCAGCACCATCCCTCAGCTGAACTCGAAAACCATCAAAGAACTTGCCTCCCCACTCATGGGAAGGTCCTAGGCTGCGTGGCCCCTGGGGATGTGTGCTTCATTGTGCCCTGTTTCTTACTGGTTTAGAACTCTTGATTTTGTACATAGTCGTCTGGTCTGTCTCATGAAACCTGAGACCAATTTTCTAAATATATATTGAAGAAAAATAAAGCGATTGGTTTTTCTTAAGGTATCCATGTGTATTTATTTGTGTATTCTTTACTGAAGAAATCAGTGAAAGCTTGCTTTGACTAATTTCTTTTTGAGCTGTTATGAATAGCATGTAAATTACTGCCGTTATGGCTTGGGCAAGACCTTTTTACCATTTTCTCAAATGGAAAAAACTAGAACTTGGCTTCAGTGAATACTAACCTGTTCCTACGCTTCTTGAATACAAGTTAAGTTTATTGTGAAAATTTAAAATGGGAGGATAACCATGACACTTTCTTTTCTAGAATATAGTCAGCTGCTCTCTAATTCCTGCGTAGGAACACGTGGCCCAGAGCAACCCTTATAATGGGTCCCTTTCTCAAAGGCATGGTTGAGACCAGAGAGCGCCATCCCAAGGGTCACAGCTGAAGAAAATGGGCCCGTGGCATCCTGTTCAAGTTGAAGCTTGGGATGCATTTTCTCGTTGTGCAGCTTCAGGTACATTATGGGCTAAATGGCTTTATATATATATTTTTTTTGTTTGGTTGGTTTTTGATGGGAATTGAATATCGTTTTCTATGGTGGAGTGCATCCTCAGCCTCCAAACACTAGCTTAAAAACAAAAACCATAAACATGAGTCTTGTATAACTTCCCAAGACGTTAAACAAGATGTTAATTGGTGTTGTAAAAGAAAGGAGTCAGATACATTTGTGAAACATTGCAAATTTTTGGAAGATTCATAAAGGTTCTGTGCTTTGCAGTAAACTCATTTATCTCAGTTATTTCCCCCAACCCTAGAGTGTGGTAAGAGCTGCCTCTTGCTGACAGAGAACGCCAGTGTCTGCTCCTATGATTCAGGTGCGTCTTGAGGACAGCGGCCCCTGAGGAGGAGAAACTGGCTCCAGTTAGCACTGGCTTTTCTGGGCAGGCAGAATTGCCTGACTAGTGTGTCTTTAACTGTAAATTTTGGGTATCGTTGTATGTTGAAATCCTAGTATAGAGTTTTATGAATATCTCTTGTTGGGTAGTGAAGCTTGTTCCCATGGCAGCCTTAGACAACTCTGATCACAAGTGTGAATGATAACGAAGTGAGACTGTCAAAGGGAGCTTTCCTGGCTCTGACAAGCAGTTATTTCCCAGGGATGCTTGAGCTCAGCTTTTGCTCAAGAAAGCCTTTGTAAGCATACTCCAAAGACATTTTATAGCTTCCTTATTACATATTTTACTTAAATATTAAATGTCCTGACGCAGGAAATTGTTCCAGGATGTCATCAAAAAAGGACCTTTAAGATGCTTTTAGGTGGCAAAGCAGGTACCCCAAACTAAAATGTCGTTAAGTGTGGAATGAGTGGAAGTAGAAACCATATCGTAAAAACACGGAAATTAAATATGAAATGTATCCATAGTATAGAAGAGCACTGACTCTCAATGTGGGTGCTTTGGATTTGATTCTAAGTAGTTGTGACCTCTATACTTTAGTTTCTGTACCTGCAAAAGCGTCTACCTCATGTGGTGGTTGTGCTAAAGTATGCCAAACACTTAGTATAGGTTCTAGTAGGAGATGATACTTGAACACAGCTATTATTATTTAAGGAGAGATTAATGGTCTTGGAAAGAGATGGGTCCGAGGATTCGGATATGTTAGATGGAGCTCTTGCCCGTTAAAGGAGTTTACAAATTTCTAGCTGTTGCGTTCCTTGCGTGAGGTTTCTTCTCTTTTTTCTTTTTTAAAATTTTTCCTTTCTGGTGAGGACGCCAGAATCTTTTTTTTTAATTTTTATGTGTTGAGAGAAAGATGCTAGAGGTTGAAAGGCTGACACGGTAGACTGTCACATTCCTAAATATTTTTTGAATTAGAGAAAATGATTAAAAGCACAGGCGTTTGGGGCATGGTGGCTCATGCTTGTAATCCCAGAATTTTGCGAGGCTGAGGCGAGAAGACTGCTTGAGCCCAGAGGTTCGAGACCAGCTGGGCAACATAGGAAGACCCCATCTCTACAAAAAATAATGAGCTGAATGTGGTGGCACATGCCTGCGGTCCCAGCTACCTAGGAGGCTGAGGTGGATCGTTTCAGCCGTGGAGTTTAAGGCTGCAGTAAGCCATGATTGTGCCACACTGTTCTCCAGCCTGGGTGACGGAGTGAGGTGCTGTCTGCGAAAAGCACAGGCCTTGGACTCAGAGTTCCAACGATGGCTTCCCAAGCGAAGAACTGTGTGACCTTGGGTGAGTAGTGAACCATACTCATCCAGTCTTCTGGTTAGAAGGGCCTCAATGGAAGGGTATGGTCCAGTAGGGAAAAAAGCATAGTGGGTAGGAATAAAAGCAAGGTTCTAAATCCCAAAATAATTGCAATCAGCTAGACCCTGGGAGACAAGCAAAACAAGGTGGGAAAGTGGGCAGAATTGTAGAATGGCTCCTCTTGTCTTTTGGCCACAAAAGTGAGGGGTGCCAGAAACACAGAGTTAAATTGTCCACCAAAGATGCACCGTGCATGCTCTGCTCTTGATTGACCTGGAAACCAGAATGTAGTCCTACTGCCAGTGAAATCTTAACTGGGACACAACGTATAAAAGAAACGGTGGCACCTGTAAAAGAAATGGTAGCACCTAGAGGCACAGGCAGACTTAGCATGACCAGCTCCACTCAGGGAGGGTCTGGGGATGCGTTCAGGAGGCAGTCTCAAAGAGCAGGAATCCAGATTATGTGAAAGCCATGCTCTGTGGAAGCTCTGTGGAGTTTGTAATTCATAGATGCACATATATATTTTCTCATTTTTGTGAACAGTTCCACCTGGCAGGAGCCCACTCTCTCTCTGGTGCTCTGGGTAAGCTGCTTAGACAGCTCTCTGTGCAGAGACCTCTAGGCCCCTTGAGTTGAGGCCGAGATCACACCACTGCACTTCAGCCTGGGCAACAGAGCGAGACTGTCTCAAAGTCCATGACAGCTAAACTATTTTCATAATATCAGGGTATTATTTCCTTTTCTCCTACTTTCATTCTCTCAGTAGTATATGATGGAATTTTCCAGAGGCTACATGACATGCAATGATGTTACTCTAGTAGCCAGTAGAATGTGTGTGTGTATTCTTGTGTTCTAAAAATTTCTCACTTTTAATTTATAACATGGTAAGTATTGATTGCCATAACCAATATAAGCTCAACACTTTAGCGTCTTTAATAACATTGAGGAGTGTAAAAGGGTTCTGAAGCGAAAGAATTTGAGAACCACTGGTCTACAACTGAAGCTTGAACACTTCTGCCCTAGGGTTCATGGTCAGGCCATCTCATTTAGTCCCTGGTTACTTAGAATCTTTGGTTGGGCCAGGCGCAGTGGCTCATGCCTGTAATCCCAACACTTTGGGAGGCCGAGGCGGGCAGATCACAAGGTTAGGAGTTCGAGATCAGCCTTACCAACATGGCAAAACCCCCATCTCTACTAAAATATACAAAAATTAGCTGGGCGTTGTGGCGTGTGCCTGTAATCCCAGCTACTCAGGAGGCTGAGACAGGAAAATCTCTTGAACTGGGAAGGCAGAGGTTGCAGTGAGCTGAGATCGCGCCACTGCACTCCAGCCTGGGTGAGAGTCTGTTTTAAAAAAACAAAACTTTGGTCAAAGGGATGTCACTTTTTTTTTTTTTTTTTTTTTTTTTTTTTTTTTTTGTGACAGAGTCTTGCTGTCTCAAGACAGGGTCTTGTGTTACTGTGCAGTAAGACAGTCTCAGGTTACCGCAACCTCCACCTCCCGGGTTCAAGCAATTCTTCACCTCAGCCTCCTGAAGAGCTGGGATTATAGGTGCCTACCACACCCGGCTAAATTTGGTATTTTTATAGTAGAGACAGGATTTCGCCATCTTGGCCAGGCTGGTCTTGACCTCTGGACCTCATGATCCACCTGCCTCAGCCTCCCAAAGTGCTGGGATTACAGGCGTGAGCCACCATGCCCAGCCGGGCTGTCACATTTTATACTGTGTTTGATACTGCTATACATGTTGCTGTGTGTGCACATGAACAACCCTTATTTCAAACAGGATGGCAAGTTCTAGAAGGTGGGGGTGGCCCTTTGATCTCCTGTATGTTCTTTCCTGGTAAGTGACTCCTGAACTGGTCATATTTGCCTAGCTGTACAGTGAAGAAAATGGCAGGCCAGGCTAGATCCAGAGACTAGAGGAAACCCAGGTTAGTTTCTTAAAGGTCCTAAAGGGGAAAATGGCATTTTTTTCTGAAGACTTTTTAATTAAGAAAAAAAGGGAAATGTTATTTATCCCAGATTTTTCTGGTAGTCCCCATGCTGAATTTCTAAATGTATATAATAAGGTTAAGATAAATGACTATTTCTCCAAACTTTTCTTGATAGTGTAAGAATTTTAGCATCTCTACACAGATTTAAGTCTCCTTACCCTGAGTCACTCACCTAAGTAAGCACCATTTCTTGGGCATCTCCTTGAGCCTGGCACTGGCTGGGTACATGATGCAGGTGCTAAGGGCTTGGTCTGTGATTTCCATGGATGGGGGTGTTCGTGCTACTCCTGGGGGATTTAACTCAGTCCCTGTTTTATCAGGAGGAAAATCAGTAGGAAAAACAAAGGCTTGTCCCAGCCAGCCAGGGGCTTACAACAAGGGACGATGGTCCTGGTGTTCCTGCCCTGTGAGAAAGCAGCTTACATGCTGGTGACTGTGGGGAACCCACCATGCTCCTTGGTGCCAGTTCTTGTGGTGTCTTCCTCCCACTGCAGGGAGTCCAGGAATGTGAGAGTATGTTGTAAAAATATATAGAGACCACTAGTGTCAATAGGATTACCTTTCCTCAATTCATCATGCCATGGCTTTACTTTCCTCTCTGGTCACAACATGGAACTGACGTTGCCTTTTAACATTGTTACTGTTAAAGAATGAAGTTTGCTTCCTGATCTTGAAGTAAAACACAAGAGAACAAAATGCCATGTTTTCGTTTCTAATCCAGATCCATTTTTTTTCTTTGTATGTAAGCCCCGATAATTTTTTCCCATGGAATTCGAGGATTCTGAAATGACTCAAAGCTGTATGCTGCTGAAACTCTAAGTTCCCAGTAGCTTAAGAATGGCTGTGGCAACGGGAGGAGGAGAGGCAGAGAAAGGGCAGTCTCCACTTAACAACCATTCTGTTTTCGCTGGCAATTACATTGTTTCCAGCTTTTCAATATTATGGCAAGAAAACATTCAGTTTGCTAGGACTGCCATAACAAAATACCACAAACCCAGTAGTTCAAACAGCTGAAGGCACTGCCTCACAGTTCTGGAGGCTGGAAGTCCAAGATCAAGGTGGGCAGGATTGGTTCCTTGTGGAGGTTGTGAGGGAGAGTCTGTTCCAGGCCTCTCTCCTGGGCTTGTGAATGGCTGGCTGTCTTCTCCCTGCCTCTTCACGTGGTCTTTCCTCTGCTTGTTGGTTTCTGTGTCCACATTTCCCCTTTTCATCAGGACACCATTATATTGGATGAAGACCCATTCTAATGACTTCATTTTCATTTTGTTTGCTCTGTAAAGACTATTTCCAAATAAGGTCATATTCTGAGGTACTGGTGGCTGGGACTCCAACGTCATCTTTGGAGGGGCACAATTCAACCCGTAACAAATGTCATAAAGGAAGAAGGTATTCGCTGATTCCTTTATTTATTTAGGAGGTAGGGGGAGGGATGGGAAGAAAATTCCTATAGGGAAAGAGTTGAGAAGAGTCTGCAGGGAACTGAGCTGGAAAGCAATGACACTGTTTCCATAGTTGGAAAAGAGCAGGGCACATCTGTAAGTACCTGGTGTGTTTTGTAAGAAAAGCTACCTTGTGAATGAGTACAGTGGAATACTACTTAGTACATTCATACATGTTTCTACCATCTCAAGATTTTTATACATACAGTATATGATCTGGTTTTTATAAATGTACAGCTTAAAAAAAGATCCTTTTTGTAATAAGTACAGCATTTAAACACAAACCAACATGGGCCAGCCACATTCCAATTGAAGACCCAAACAAAGCAAAGCCGGCAGCCCAGCCCCCAGCCCCTGACCTGTGCTTGGCGGCCCTGATGGTCCCGGCAAAGTGTAAACTAGTGTCCCTCTGTCTCCCTGGGCTCAGCAGGCCTGCTTGCCCTTGGCATGCGCACAGGAAGTGCCTGCTCACGCTGAGCCCAGTCTGCAGAGGCGGGTCCTTCCTGAGGGAAGGTGGCAGAGAGGAATGTGTATGTCGGGTATGGACAAGAGAGGTGAAAGAAATGTGCTCTTCAACTAAAGGCACTTGTCAGCGGCCACCTACAGCCATTCCCTGGGCCTGGTGAGGAAGCAGGGTGCTGTTTTGACAGAAGCCTACAAGATCTCAGCAGACCTCACCTGTCCTCTCACCAGGTTTAAATACAATAAATAAATCTTATTGCGTGGTGGTTTTGCCTGCCTGGGTTCCTATGAAGGGGCTACCTTTTAGGATCGTTTGTGGAGTGATACTCCCTGTTCCCAACCCCAGCCTATTCAGTGTCCTCCAGGGGGAAGGTACCAGAAGAGCTCCAGGCCTTGGAGAAGCAATTGCTCACTGCGGATTGGAAGGGGAGCCCCTAAGTATCTCCTCCCATTGTCTGTGCCTGGAGCTCCTCTGCCCCATGCGTCAGAGTCATGAGCGCCTCAGATCTTGGTCACGTAGTTGTTGGGGAACAGGCCCTGCTTGCCTCGTAGTCGACCCGTCCACCAGCCTGAAGGATCTGCAGGGAGAGATGGTAAAAGTGAAGATGAGTAACTGTTTTACCCCAGCCAAACACACTCTGCTTCCATGGGCTCAAGTGATACGGCACCATCCATGTTGTTTTTCCCTTTGTTGTTTAAATCAAAAAGTTTTTTGTAAAATGTAAGATATCTACCAAATTAATAAGGCACTCAGCCAAGCCCATGGACTGCTTTAATAATGGATACTCAAGGTTGTCTCTCTGGCTTCTACTCCATCTACTTTGATTAGGAGGAAGCCTACCAGGTCTAATAAACTGAAGGGTACAGCCTTTGTCTTGCTACTAAAGTTGGTTCAGGAGGACACATGACTAATTTGGTTTGATCAGGATAAAACTCAGGACTTTTGTCTAATGGCAAAGAAAAGTTTCAGAGATGTTGCAGATTTCATATATCATTTGATATGCAGGCCTGGAATTGCAGCTGCCATTTTGCTACCATGAAGAAAAACAGCTTGAGAAGGGAGGGGATATAAAGAAGGGGGCAGAGCTGAAAGAAGCATTAAAAAGAAAGCTGATGGCTTGATCAGACTGAGCCTGAAGCCTGACCTGCCTCTACAAATTTCAGTTTGAGGAGCCCATAAATTCTCTTCATGTTCACAGGAGTTCTTACAGCAATGTGACTGAGTTCTTTGGGAGGCTGTCCCAGCCAGTCAGCCACACACTTACCTTCTTTGATAATATCAATAATGTCATTGGCATTAAAGCT